ACTTATTTCAGACCTACAGATTGTAATACAGCTATTGAATGTTCAAGTGCTCATCATCTCCCTTGGTTAACAAATATTCCTAAAAGTCAGTTTACCCGACTTAGGAGAAACTGTACAGATAAAAAAGTTTTTTTAGAGCAATCGACAATCATAAAACAAAGATATATAGAAAAAGGTTATGATGCCAAAAATATGGAAACAACGGAATTGGAAATATTTAATTTAGATAGATCCCATCTTTTGGCAAACAAAAATGTTAATGATCAAATAATTAAAGCCTCTTCTGACCATACTATTTCTCAACACAATTTGAAGAATAATTTTATATGTAAAAATACAAACAAAAATAGTAGTAATAAATTTGAATTTGCCTTCATTACCCAATACAATTCTCAAGCAAAAAAAGTTGAAAAAATATTGAAGAAACATTGGTACATTTTAATGAAAGATGATATTTTGAAACATGTGTTACCTAAATTTCCAACAGTAATATATAAAAAATCCACTAACTTAAAAAATAAATTAGCGCCGAGCTTATTGCCTGTATCTCCTCTTTGTAACAATGTCCTCCAGACTCCAATCACTGGCTTTTTTAGTTGTGGCCGTTGTTCTACTTGTAAATACCAAAAAAGGAAAATTACAGATTTCATAGGAACCTATACTAAAAAAGTTTATAATATTAAAAAACATATTCACTGCTCCTCTACTTGTGTTATATACTTACTACAGTGTGGATGTGGAGCTCAATACGTTGGTCGTACCTCTAGAAAATTACATATTAGAATTTTGGAACACTTTAATAATATAAAGAAAAATAAATTAGATCATAGTGTCCCTAGACATTGTAATTCTTGTCCTTTATTCAGTTGGAACACCTTTCAAACATACGGCATAGATCTAGTCCAGATGGGCTGGAGAGGAGGGGATAAAAATCAGGAATTAATCAGAAAGGAAGCTCTGTGGATTTTTAATTTAAAAACTTTATATCTAGGACTTAACCAAGAAATAGACCTTCATGGTCTTATTTAATAGCAGATTTTTTTCTTTTATATATAGTTATATATATGTGTGTCCTTCCTCTCATTTCTGTATATATCTTGGGATTAGAGTGTTGGGCACTTATGTCTATTGCATAATATGGATATTGTATTTGATCTTATTTTTTGGATGTATTGCATTGCAGGATGTATGTCTACACATATAGGATCTTGTGTATTTATATGTGTATTTTGTATATTTTAATTTTATTTTTTTCTATACCTACATCCTCCAATGCAATTCACACCTATTGTTTTGCTTTATCAGTGTCTCAGGCAATGTTTTCGCCTTTTGTTTTATGTTCCCTCTAGGTTTCGGTCTTTTTTCATTACGCGCATGCGTGTATATTCCACGCATGCGCGGTACAATACGGAACTGTTCTCTTGAATTATGGAGCATTTCGCGCCTTTATGCGTTCCACGGATGGAACGCACGCTGCATAACAGATGGACGCAATTAAATATAGATCCGCAGCAGTATTTAAATCGGAGAATAGAAGTACAGAAATATCCCTGAAGAAGTCCTACACCCCTACAGGACGAAACGCGTTGGATTCTTTATATATGGACTTATACTATATATTAATGTTTTAATTTAATTGTTTATTATCTTTTTATTCATTTGTTTTTGGGCTGTTTTCCTATAACTACTCCTGTTGGATCCTATTCTGGACCGCTGACCACACTGGATTGAGTTCCATGTTATAAGGAGATACGCTTTTTATGATTTACACATATGTAAGTGTGACCAATAAATGTGATTTTGTATTTTTATAACAAACTTCACTATCTCTGATTTCCTTTATCTGCATATATCCGATGAGGTGATTCTCCAGTTCGTTCATCATACTTCATATTACCCCAGAGAGGGTGAAAAGCCTTATTTCACGTGCGTTTGTGAGTGTATCTATATTCACCTATATTTATATAATTTTTCTTTTTTACTGTATCACGCTATGTTAGCATTTCGATTTTTACACAGAATTTACAATATGGATCATACCCTATATCAGGTTATTGTTTAATTTATATATTTACCTATACGTATTCTGGGTGTTTTTCCGCCTACTTTTGTTATTTTATATTGTCTCTTGGGTGTCTGTGAGGTACACCTGGGAATTCTTCCAGCTATACGTCCCCATTCCACTTTTGTAGTGTATATACTATTTTTTTGCTTATATCAAATATTTAGTCTTGCAGCATCAGCCTCAAGGATCTCATTAATCACTAGTAAAGGTAATTTCAATTTACTTTGTTTTCCCATTAAACTTTATAAAGTTAAAAACATTATAAACATGCATTAAGTAGAAATAAAAAGATAAATGTACGTACATTTATTTTTTAAATTCATTTCTCATCAACTAGTGTATGATTGGTGTATTGTGTAATTACTGTAAATCCCTCCCTTGCATGGGAGAATGCTTTAAAATAAGGTTGTGTGATTAAAAGTTTAGTTCTACTCCTGATACTGTGTGTCGTCCAGTGATTGGGGAAGGTGATGGGATATTATTGGATTGTAATGCTGATTGTGCTGGATATTCTCTTGGATTTATTACTTGTTCCTGCATCCTCTTAAAGTACTTGGTGGAGTTAAGCTGTGGAAAATCAGCTCTCTGCTACATTGGTTGGCAGCGTCGGGATCCAGACCTACAGAGGAGCAAGTACCAGGAAAGGCAACAGCACTAATGGATCACGGGTGGAGATCGATTGCACCACCTTAAAGCGATCCACTTTCAAGGACCTCCTGGAAGCAAGAGGTACCCCCTCCAGCAACAAGACCAAGGCAGTCCTGGTTGCAGAAGTCATGGCGGAATACAGAGCAAAGGAGGGTCCAGCGTTGATACAGAACAACTCCAGAGAGGAACAGGGGCGGTTGGAATTTCAGATAGAACTGCAATTCCGGCTGTCACTCTGTGGGGAAAACCCACCAGCAGAGATTATCTCCAGAACCATGACGGAAGTACAGGAGTTTATACTAAGACAAAGGATCCAACAAACTCCAGAGAGGAAGAGCACCTTGGAGACACAGGAATCAATATGGAGCGACATAGAGCCAGCGAGTCCCTGGACAGAGCTTGAGGTGGAAGATGAGTTTAACCAGAGGTAAGCCGATAGCAGAGGCAACCAGCTTGGCATGTAGAGAGGACGTCCAACAAGAGATGTGGGAAGAAACTTTGGAGGGTGTCCAGCGTTTGCGAGGTGAGCGCCTCCCCAGCAAGGAGCAGCGACCACAAGCTCGAGTGGCCCTGCGGATGCCTATGCTGGGAGACCAGCCCCGGGAAGAGTTGGTGATACAGCTTGATACACTACCATGGAGGGAACCGGGTCTCGATGATGCGTACCAAGCGCTATGTTGGTACGCGGGTCAAGTTCGACAAACCAGAGGGCAAGGATTACAATGGCCCTGGCTTATTATGGGGGGCCTTTGCGGAACCGGACTTTGGGAGTGCGGCAGAATCCCGGCTTTGGGACATACTTAACTATAGAGAGGCCATGCTAGATCTCCCTATGGCTGAAGACCTGGAGCCAGACCTGATTGAATTGGCCGTCCAGGAATGGGAACTTGAGCAGGATTACCAGCACCTGATCAGCTCCAGTCAGTCACCCTATACCTTGCAAGTATTGCCAGAGCAGTGGGAGTTCGAACAGGATTATGATCCGCTATTTGTTCCAGTGACTCCACAGTTCTCTGACATGGTAGGGCTTATGGACTGTACACCATTGGGAGCGTTTAGTTTCATCCCTCCTCCCCAACAACTAAGTCCGTCATCAGGTCACCTGGGGCCTGCACCATCTACTCCCCAACCAGCCCCAGAAATGAGGGACCTCATAGACTGGTCCTGGGAAGACCCACAGATGGCAGGTGGGGAGGGGACGGCGGTTTCTCTACTGGCCCTAAAGGGATGCTGGGCAGTCAGCCCAGATCCCCAACGGCAGTATGAAGTGCAGGGAGTGGAGAACATCGTCTTCCCTCCCCAGCGGCAGTGTACCTTGCAGGGAGAGGAGAGTGGCGTCCTCCCTCCCCAGCGGCAGGGTGAGCTACAGGGATGCTGGGAAGTTGGCCCAGATCCCCAGTGGCAGTGTGTTTCACTGGGAGTGGAGAGCAACGTCTTCCCTCTCCAGCTTCAGTATACCTTGCAGGGAGAGGAGAATAGCGTCCTCCCTCCCCCGCAGCAGGGTGAGCTAAAGGGATGCTGGACGGTTGACCCAGATCCCCAGTGGCAGTGTGTTTCACTGGGAGGGGAGAGCAGCGTCCCCCCTTATCAGCGGCAGCATAGCCCACCAAGGGAAGGTGATGGGATATTATTGGATTGTAATGCTGATTGTGCTGGATATTCTCTTGGATTTATTACTTGCCCCAGTAAGCCCCACAACAGTACAGATGGGACCGTAGACTCTGCACCTGCACCACCGGGGGTAGGGACAGTCTGTCCTGTTTCCCAACAGCAGGACCATTTAGCCAAAGGGGAGACAGTCTGTCCCCCCCCTCCAGCAACCAAGTGTGATGTTGGGAGAAGAGACAGGTGGTCTCTCTTCCCAGCGGCTGAGCATGTTATTGGAAGGGGAGACGGCTGGTTCCCCTTCCCAACAGCGGGACCATTTATTGGAAGGGGAAACAGTCGGTTCTCCCCAACAACAAGGGAGAGCGTTGCAGGAAGAAAGCTGGCATCCGGGCAGAAAGCAGGCCGCTTCTGCCCTCTCTTCCCTTTTGCCTTAGAACCTGACGGCGCACCATCTACATCAAGGACACCGAGGACCACAGAGCAAAGTTTCGTGGACCTCGACCCACCAGGTCTAGAGGAGGGGAACTGCATCCGCCGTCCCCAGCAACAGCTTTGTCCAACCCAGATCAGGGCTACCAGGGGATGTAATATTTAAAGGGGTACCAGAAAACAAGGGGAACTGTGTCCTACATAATGGGATTATGTGTCACACTAAGGGGAGGGGATGTGTGGGTGGCAACTCGTGTATGATTGGTGTATTGTGTAATTACTGTAAATCCCTCCCTTGCATGGGAGAATGCTTTAAAAGAAGGTTGTGTGATTAAAAGTTCAGTTCTACTCCTGATACTATGTGTCGTCCAGTGATTGGGGAAAGTGATGGGATATTATTGGATTGTAATGCTGATTGTGCTGGATATTCTCTTGGATTTATTACTTGTTCCTGCATCCTCTTAAAGTACTTGGTGGAGTTAAGCTGTGGAAAATCAGCTCTCCGCTACAAAATGCATGAACAAACAGACAAATGAGCATGAAATAACAGTAATTCCAAGACAGATGGATCTGGCACACCTATATTAAAAGTGACGTTTTATTTATTTACTCTTGGGTTACTCCTCACACTAAAGGGTTTATCTCCTAAACGGTGTACCCTTGTGTTTTCTTTTCTTTGCATTAAAGTAAAATTCTACCTGAGGGCCACCCCCCTTCTCAATTAGAGTAACCTGACACTTTGTCCCTAGAAGTTACTACTTACAAATTACTACTACTTTGTATTCTAACTCTTTCTCTGTAAACTCACATGTAGCAAGTGACTTGTTTGTCCTTTTTTTCTAACTGAGGCCCCTTTCCTTCATTTTCGTCTGTAGATACTGAAAAAAAATATTAATTGATTCAGTCAGCTAGATCTTTATTTTCTATTACATACCTTCCTTCTTCTGTTTTTACTCTAACTAATCCTTGTGTTATATTCCTCATCTAGGTGTCGATTCATATGTTTTTGCTCTGTGAATTATTTGTTGGCATAAAGAGGACTGACCGAGGGAGCAGCAAGTAACTGAGGACAAAGTATGTATAAACCATTATTCCTTCACACTTTTACTACAATAATGAGGGGTACAAAGATTTTGGCTTATGCATTTTAAGTATTTTCTTCTTTTGACCTCAAAATGGAGGAACTGAATTATTGGCAAACTCTCCGTACAGCACAGTGTGATGAGAATTTGCAGTGTTTAGGTGCTCATTATCTAATGCTTATCATAATCTCCCTTTTAACTCACAAAGTAGTTCTGAATATGCACAACTTCAATTAACTTCCTTCATAAAAAATAAATAAAACTGTGATTATACTGGATATAGCATGCCAGTTGGTGGCTGTTTGCTTGCAAATTGGTTTTTGTTTTATTAAAGGACCACTATGGTGTCAGGAAAATATACTTGTTTTCCTGGCACTATAGGGTCTCTAGGTTCCCGTAAAAAATGTCATCAAATAAGTTAAAACATATTATTATAATACACATTGATACAATAAAGACAATTAGACAATCCCACAACTATAGTTGTCGTGCACATACCCCTGTTGTCAGCACTATGAATATGCTGATTCAATTTATCAGTTCTCAATTCATATCTCATCACTGACTGTAGCGGAGCTCCAATACCACACATAGGTATCTCCGCTATTTCTTCCTCGAAGCTGAAAAAAGCAATGTATTAACCCTTCCCCTCAGCAACTAGACCAGGCTTCCTCAAACTCCGGCCCTCCAGATGTTGCTGAACTACAACTCCCTTGATTCTATGAATGCAATAGGCTGAGAATCATGGGAGTTGTAGTTCAGCAGCATCTGGAGGGCCAGAGTTTGAGGAAGACTGAACTAGACGACACATAGTTCTGGGAGTCAACTGAGTTTATTTTGGCCTCCACATCAACAATACAAGGTTTTTCCTCCCAGGATCCTCTGTTTCTGAGAGATAATTGAGTTAGAAAGCTAACTAAATTATCTCTCAGATACAGGAAAACACCCAATATTAAAATTTCTCATAAAAATACATTTTAATAACATTGGAGCCCCACAAAAGTCCTATCCCCAAATAGCTTGGATCTAAGCGTCCACTTAGACATGTTTTGACCGGTCGTCCACGAAGTGATGCCACAAAACAGTTCAATAGAAAACAAGGCAACGACCGGTCCTCTTTTGGGGGTTCTCACACGAACACCGACTAATGCTTCCCCTGTTTGGTGCTTCATGCCTCCTGAGCGCCGTTCTCATAACTGTTCGGGAAGTTGGATGGGCATAGGTACAAGTTTAACGGGTGTTCGCGGGTTCATGTATCCGAGATATAGTTTCATGCCGTTGATGACTGTAACGGATCACCTGGCACCCCGACTGAGGGCACTAGACAAGCTCCATAGCCAAACCCACCTAGTTGGTAGCAAACCTCAGCAGTACAGGAGAGCAGGCAATACATTACACAGTACACACACACAAACACTATAAACAATTAAATTACACACACCCTGCACCTATAATGGGTACAGGGTGACTAAAACATAAGAGAAATAAAGCAACCTACATAAATAGTCTGTCTGAAGGTAGAATAGGGGCTTTAAATCCAAATACATCAAAGAGTCATAGTCACAGGGGAGGAGGCTGACAAGCAGGCCTCTCCAGGACCAAGTGGCGAAGGGCACTTCGTCACATTTCTCCCCTTCGGGGGGAAGACTAACCAGGCACCTGACTTTCTGTCGGTCAGTGCCTAAGTTTGTCGATTCACCCACCGACCATAAGCAAGTGCCAGAGTAGTCCACCCACAAGAAACAGTTATTAGAGCAGCCCACCCACAGCAAACAGTGTATGGGTATTCCTCTGGGGTGATGGGGCAGCACGCTGTGGGGACTTGAGGGGCAGAGGCCAGCTGCACTCTGTCCTGATGCCAGCTCTTCCGCTGGTATAGCCTGCAGGACATCATTCTCTGGACAAGGGGCGAAGGGAGGGCAGAGGCCAACTGCACTCTGCCTAGCTGCCAGCTCTTCTGCTGGGGTGCTTGGGACATAGTCCGGCTCAGTAGCCAGTGGAACGTGGGGGTTAACATCTCCTCTGTTAACCCTGGGGTCAAGTTAGGAGTTAGCTGGGGAGGGAGGAATTGGCTTACCTCCTCCTCCTGATACGCCTGCGATGGTAGCTGGGATCTGGACAGGCTGTCCAGCATCCCTGTGGGTCAGGCACAGAGACCACGGTCCCATCTGCACCATCTAGAAGATTGGTTTCTCCCCTTGGTAGGGTAAGCTGCCGCTGGGGAGAGAAGGGGCTGTGCTCCTCTCCCTGAAACACATGCTGCCGCTGGAGAGAGAGACCGACTGTCTCCACTCCCGTAACATTGTCCTGCTGCTGGGGAGAGAGACCAACTTTCTCTGCCCCCTGTAGGACACCCTGCTGCTGGGGGGGAATGACAACACCTTTGGCCCCCTGGAATTCACACTGCCGCTGTGGAGGAAGGACGACACCTTCGGCTCCCTGGAACTCTCACTGCCGCTGGGGAGGAAGGACGACACCTTCAGCTCCCTGGGACCCACACTGCCGCTGGGGAGGAAGGACGACACCTTCGGCTCCCTGGGACTCGCACTGCAACTGGGGAGGAAGGGCGGCACCTTCCGCTCCCTGGAACTCACACTGCTGCTGGGGAGGAAGGACGACACCTTCGGCTCCCTGGAACTTACACTGCCACTGGGGAGGAAGGACGACACCTTCGGCTCCCTGTAGGGCCGGTAGAGAGACCTCGGTCCCATCTCTACCTGCCATCTGGAGATCATCCCAGGACCAGTCAATGAGGTCTGGTTCTGCTTGTCGGGAAGGTTGGGGCTGCACGAAGCTGAGCAGGTGTTGGTAGTCCTGCTCCAGCTCCCACTCCCTTGTTACCAGGTGGGTCATGTCTTTGCTCACCTCGCATTCGTCAACCCAGATATACATGCCCATCCGGTAGTCGTAGATGTCCCAAAACCTAGACCCCTCCATGCTGCCAAGGTCAATGTCGTCCTCCAAGGCATTCCATAATAAACCCGGGCCATCATAATCATCCCCCTCTGGTAAGTCGTGCTCAGCCGTCCAGGGGGTAAGTCGAACGGTATGCCACCAGAGGGCCTGGTATGCGTTGTCTAGCCAGATCTCTCGCCATACCAGGGTCTCTAGTCTTGTCACCCACTCATGCAGGGGCTGCTCTCCCAATAGATACATCCGCATCGCCACACGCTTCTGTAGCTGCTGCTCATCACCGGGGAGACTCTCACCTCGCCGCCATTGGGCATCTTCCAGGGCATCATACCAGAGTTCCTTTCTGTCTGCATCCCTGTAGTCCGCAGTTGCCTCCTCCTCCTCATCATGGAACGCTGTCCGAAAACTAGCCGATTCCATCCTGTTGTAGCCAGGGGCACTGTACGGATACTAGCATTGCCCTCAATTTGTAACTCCAAACTTTACCAGTGTCTCCGAGCTGCTTTTCCTCGCACTAGGACGCCATCCCACCGCTGCCACCAATGTAACGGATCACCTGGCACCCCGACTGGGTACCTCCGTTGAAGGATGCTCCTAGCGCTTCCTGAGGACTCCAAGCACTGCAGCAGACACCACAACCACTGCAGACTCCGCAACCGCTGTAGCTCGACTGGAGTCTCGCCATCTTCCTTCCACCCTGGATCAGCTTCTGTCCTCCAGGACCATGTGGGAAAGACCTCTTCCTTCCACCCTGTATGAACCTCCAGCATCCAAGACTGTGTGGTGAAGACCCCTCCTCCAAGGAGAACGTGTCAGGAACAAGCTCTTAAAAGAGCTAAGTGATTCAAGCTCAGGGGAGCATGCAGAGCATAGCAATCCCTAGTGTGATTATAACAGCTCCCTCCAATAACGAGACAAGGCTACGTTTAGAGGGATCAAGAAGAACTGTCTAAACCTTTATTTCTCTTGGGACCAGCCCATAGGGTGACAACATTAACATTGCTGTGAAAACTCAATAAAATCATAAACAGTCAAACCATAGCAGGCAACACACAGTGACTTATCACAACACAATGGCACATTTTTTAAAGGGGTGGGGGAGACAATATTTAACAGAAAATATCTCACATGTCTGCAGAATTAGCAATCTGCAAATCTACCCGAATATGCAAATGAACCAGTCTTGCTATTCAGGTAGTGCATACCAACAGAGGTCACTAGACAAGCTCCATAGCCAAACCCACCTAGTTGGTAGCAAACCTCAGCAGTACAGGAGAGCAGGCAATACATTACACAGTACACACACACACTATAAACAATTACATTACACACACCCTGCACCCATAATGGGTACAGGGTGACTAAAACATAAGAGAAATAAAGCAACCTACATAAATAGTCTGTCTGAAGGTAGAATAGGGGCTTTAAATCCAAATACATCAAAGAGTCATAGTCACAGGGGAGGAGGCTGGCAAGCAGGCCTCTCCAGGACCAAGTGGCGAAGGGCACTTCGTCACAATGACCATGTACCTCTGCCTGCGTTCGGGAGAGAAAATGGCCGCCAATTCTTGGAGCATGTGTGTTCTATTATACGAACGGCTTCCACAAATGAAAAATATTTGCACTAATGATTAATTTGTGGTTAACAGCCAGGGGTGGTCGCTGATTAGAAGGTACTAACAAGGGGACCACACAGCGTTAGTTCAGTAAAGGAACGTTTTGTGTACTGACAGCCGA